TTATATATATATATATATATATATATATATATATATATATATATATGTTTAGGAAATCTTTGAATTAGTAACTTAAAAGCTGCCAGGATTAAATGATTGTAATGTATCGCCGGCCAATCACAAATTATGGAATTTAACGACAATCTTTAAACATTTCTTTATTGAGTAATATTACATTTTGTCACAGACATTAATACAACACATTAATATTAGTGATATAGTAGTTTATTCACACTTTATGTACAATAAAAAAATATAAATTAAATAAAACAACAGAAAAATAATTGAGTTTTTTCCCCAGATGTAGAAAGTAAAGTAGAACCATAGAGGATCTCAACCCTCTCACTCAAAGGTCCATGGCATGAGTGGAAAATCTGAACTATTGCCGGACTTCAATATACGAATGTTTACAAAAATTCTCGGGGCCACTGATGCTTCAACCTTTCAGGAGGATTCGAGGGATAGGTGAAGCTAGACAGGAATTGTGCAAGAGTATTCGTATGATGTGTAAGGTTCTGGTGAAATTTGCTCATTTTTTTCTGGGATAGGGTCTAGGACAAATGACATATTAAGGTTATGGTCGATGATTTTGTTAGTTACCAAGAACGGAGCATCTGAAAGGATTGGAGGCGTTTGATGTCAACAAATTTATAGTTCTACTCCGTAAGTCCAAATAGGTTTCAGGATTGTCCTGTGATTCAGTATTTCGTTGTCAATAGAAAGTTGAGATTTTCTATTCAATAATCTGATCATATTGTTGATTGAGCTCTTGTCTTTTAAGTCAAGTATATGATTTCTACCTTAGTATCAAGTTTATGAGAAAACCAAGGTACCGTACTATGTCTGAAAAACGAAGCTGGGTGGAATTAAAATAGACTGGTGGACAAGATCTGCGTTGGAGAATAAGGGTGGTTGTGTTTGGACCACCGGCGGATCTACGGGGGAAGTTTTAGGGCTGGAGTCTCCCTCTCTCTCCCCAAAATGGTAAAATGTAACCATGTTTTATGGTAAAAAATATTAAAAAATTATCCCTTTAAATTATTATTGTTCCTGTAATTACATTTAATAGGACTTTAAGAATCACATAAACACCATTTCATATATGTAGCTAGTATCATTATTTTTTTTAGAGTTGTTGTCGTTATATATATATATATATATATTATATATATATATAAAGAAAACTTTCGGGCTGAATCCCTCCTCCCCTCCAAAATGAAATCCTGAATCCGCTAGTGGTTTTCACAGAACCAGTGCTAAATTAGGGAGAGGTGTCTAGGCATATTTAAGGATACTATTTCGATATCAGAGTTGAATGATAAGATTGCGGTGTCATCAGCGAATGTTACAAGGAAGATATTTGAGGAACACCTTTAACTTTAACAAAATAGGTATTGGAAGATTTGTTTCACTCGGAAGGAGCGGTCACAGAATCAAAATACTAGGTTTAAGGACTGGGATAAATGGATTTTAATCTTGAAGATCAATGCGGCATGGCATATCCGGACAAAAAAATCTTTTTTTTTTGTTTCCGAAAGGGAATCGTCACAGACAGAGAGGAAGAACAGATAGTAGTTAAAGGAATTCAGATCAATAGGTGGCTGATTCCCGTTTGATTTTTTGCAATACTAATAACAGGAGGTGTTTGAATTTGTCCTCTCTCAAGAAGGATGGCTTCTACGTTTTTTCTTCATTTACATTTAGGACAATTTTCTCATTGTCTATTTAGAACCATATCTTATTATTCATTCCATCATGCATCCCTTTATTTCCACGTGATGTTTTTATCACAAAATTCCGGATTGTATTAGGACTCGGTATTTAAAAATTATTTATACAAGCTTCGTCGAATTTCACAAATGTTCCAGAATCTACCTATTTCTCACTTTTCTTTAATTTTATTATTATAACTTATTGATGAATTTCATTATTATGGCCCATTACCATAATATGCTTCATAATAAAGAATTTGTCTCAATTTTTAATAGTCTCAAATTGCATTTTGAAACTTTATATTAATTATATAAATAAAGAAAAATTTTAATGTTATATTTTTGGTATTGAACACAGCCTTTCAAAAGGTCTTCTCTAGAACCAATTAACAATTGTAGGACACACTAAAAAGATTTGTTGAGTCATTGAATGTAAGAGAGTATGTATCGAAATATCAGCTGAATTAATCCAGTCATTCTTAGCAAGTATCGGAAGGAATAGAGTAGCTATTCTAAGAGTTTTAAGTTACGAAAAGAGATTGTTCATTATCAGTGCCCTATAAGATTTTAAAGACCAACTGGTCCAGCTCTATTCGATTTAATAGCACAATATTTCAGGTTTTAAACGATGCTGTGTAGGTGTTGTAAGGAAGTGTTGCTAAGAATTAGGTAGCATGATTTATTTTCAATTAATTTTAAGTAATCCGAATCATCTTTGTCTTACTTAATTGCCTTCTAAGTAATAGACTTGTAGATGCAATAGAATAAAAGTGTTATATTAAATATGTAGGATCTACCGCTGTGTGTTTCTTGGTCATGAAAACTAGTTCCTAGTGCGGCGAAGTTACATTGTTGCAATAAAATTCTGAGTCTGTTCAAATTCAATATATTGATTTTTTTATTTTCATTTACCTATACATGTATAGTAAGGGAAATAATTGCGATCGTAAAATTTTTGGAGCCTGAGTTTTTTTTTTTTTTTTTTCTTTACAAAGGTACTGTATGTGTAAACAGTTCAGCTCATAAACGAAAAAACTTATGAAACTGAAATTGTGTATTTTAAGGTTTGTATATGCCTCGGATGTAACAGCAACGTTTTCGTAAAAATCGGCTAATCGGAAGTGCCACTTTATATAACCGATTTTAGACATTTTTACGATTTTCTCGAAACCGGCTCGAACGATTTTGATTAAGTTCATCACATTAATGCAAGATAAAACGTTTTTTAATATAACGTAGGTCTTATTCTTATTGATGTTCTCTATCAGGGCCTAAATGCCTAATTTTTAAATTGTTTTCCTCTGAAGTACCATTAATTTTTTTTTTTATTATAATAATCATTTCACATTAGAACCTGATATAAAACGTGTTTAAATATGAGATATGAATTAATTCAATAATTAGCTAAGGGAGAAGTAACATAAAGAGGTTAGAACGGGCTTCTATACATTATGTGCGGTTGTCATAAATGCGGTTTCACAAAGCGTTCATATCATCTAATAGTTAATAGTTTTAGCGTTCATATTTATCTAATAGTTGCTCCATCTATCTTAGGCTATTTTTTTTCCATATCTATTGCACCAATATATTGAAATTTATATATATTCGAATATGTATTATGTAGTGTCTATCGATAGTAAATTGAAAAGATGCTTTGATATTCTATATGCAAATTTAGTTTTAAATAAAATATATTTTAAGATTTGACCGCATCCTGTAACATGTCTTATATCACACAGCTGAGTGCGACCGGTTCACGCCGCTGAGATAGGCTTTTCTGGATTTTTATCCAACTTAACCCTAGAACAGAAGAGTTTCTCTATTGAGTGGCTGTCTCTTCTAAGCTTCAAAAGAAAACACGATGGTTCGGTATGAAAAAAACTGGTTCTCCACCAGGGTTCTTGGAGGTTTGATAAATGTTATTTAAAATTTTAAAAACTTAGATTTATCATTGTCTAACTCTATGACTCCTTCTCTTCAAGCATCTAATTTTCCATAATCATTTATCATTTTTATTGATAAAAAGTTTCGTTCGTCACATAACTTTTATTTACCATTCCACTTATTATTATTTTCGCTCAATTAGGACTAGTTAACATTTAATTATTTAAATCTATTATCTGAACTGAAGTTATTTTGAGCAGGATGTACTTCATCATGTCTTTTCTACAATAGTATAACAAAATAGGTTTTTTTTTTAAGAAATGCAGTATGACAATCCTGAGCATTATTTATTTACTTTGAATTCTAAGCAAAATTCCATCTAGTTGCCACAGAGCTGAAGCGCTCTCGATCAATATCCGCGGGAGTTTTAGTACCCGTAATGCGGTGAGAGAGTAGCACTGGGTTCTCCTGAGTCCTGCTTTTCCTCCGTAGTTGGAAGGACAAGCCTGATTGTAAATAGTGTATACTATGTCTTTGTTTAATTTCTTATTTTTAAGTTATATTATTTAGATATTATGGTATACTTTTTGATTATTATTTATTGTTATTTTGCTTCAAATGATTTGATATATTTTGTACATATAGCATGAATGTTATCCTATCTGATATTAATGTTTAAGTGACAGATTGTTGTAATATTCAATAAATAAATATAAATAAAAATTTTAAAAAGTTGTACGAGAATTATTTTCATTGAATAATATTTCTTTTCTTAAAAATATTAGAATCTTTTCGAGACAACTGTTAAAACGGTGTGAAATTAATTACATCAATTGAGACTTTCTGATGTCTATTTTAGCGAAAAAATATTCCTCCTTTAATTAATGATTTCAATTGTATATATGCTTTTAAATTTAGAGCTAATCTTATCACATATATTATACAGATAGGCTTAACACGCGTATTTTCGATAGATCAGATTGTTTTATTTTCAAATATAAGAGTCTAATTAAAAATTTATATTATAATAAGGTCAATTTTAGTCAATGTATTCATAAAGTCATACATTATATACAATTAAAAATAATGTTTTGTCATTTGTACAATTATGTATTTTCAATCTACTGAACTATAATTTATATGCATTTTGAGGAACTAGTGTCAATGGATTATCCCATTTTTACATTAAAACTTGATAAAGGTGAAACGTTTGTTAAGTAATAAAGGAGTAAATATCGACTGAACTTCTAAACCATTTGGGAAGTTGTGCGACATATCTGTCAGCTTTGCACTAAATTTAGATTTGCCTACTCACCGAGCAAGTGACATTAGAGATTCTGTTTGTTTTATTTTATTTTTTTCTTAAAACCCGGAATCGATATCATCTTCCTGTCCTTGGTTAGGCTGAACTTGCTCCAGATTCACACTATAAATGTGTCCCAAACCGTAACGATAGCATTCTGCAAGCAGGATTCACACAACCACTAACAACATGTACAAGATTGTGAGTATTGAAACAATAAATCTATAATTAATGCTAGATATAAGCATACGTATATTTATGTTTTATTACAAGAAAAAACAATTAGATATTTGCTTAATTTACCATTAAGAGCAAACCTAAGAGTATTAAAATGTTAAAGAAAATGAAGGCTAGCCGATAAAGTTTTTTTAACAAAATTAGGATATTTTTTTTTATTATTTTATTGAAATTTACAACTGTAAACATATATACAACCAGTAAATCTGCTATATGAATATATAACCTGAAGGTACTTGTGAAGAAGCTACCCATAAGTAACACTTCAAAGATAAATTAATTTAAGAGGCCCCTTGGATTTTGGATTATAAGGATTGGATACGAGAAAAATTTGATGTTTTTGAAGAGCCCCAAAAATTAGGATATGAAATTAATAAAGAAGAAGTTTTAAAACTACTACCTTTTCTCACGAAAAATCGCTAGATGGATCAATCAACAAGTTCTACTATTTAAGTGACTTAATCTGAAAGCCATATAATATAGTGGGCCAATAAAAACATAACTACACATACATAATCATCCTGGTAAATTCGTAAAATGCATATAAACCCCAGGTAGTCCAATGCTTCTATAATTCGAAATAGGATTAACATTTTTTACTAATTTTCTAATAATTTGGTAGCCTTTTGTTTTGCAAATTTTTACTAAATGGCAGTTAATTTTTAGTTAAAGCTTGAAATATGTTCTCGTTTGTTTAAAATGTTTAACTTCCTTAAAATAAAGCAATTAATTTGTTGTTAAAGTCTTTTGAGTTTATCCAATACTGTATATTGTAATTTGCTTGTAAATAAAGAGTTTCCGGGGAGTTGGAAAAAAATAAAAAGTTGTTAAAGTCTTTTGAGGAATCGAAAAGTTCTTTACTTCAACAACTTGGAATGGATGAGGTAAAAAGATGCGTAGTTCTAAAAAAAGCCAGCGTTGACTGTAGCACGGAAATTTATGAAGTTCCATTCCTCCACTATTTAATCAGACTAGAACACGTTTCAATCATAAAATAAAGCATTTTTTTCGTCAAAGATTAGTGTTTTTATGGAATTGTATCCCTCTCAATCAATTTATAGAACGAGTTTCTTTTAAAATTTATTCATATCTGCTACAGTTTTTATACCTATTAATGGCAATAGCCATTTATAGGCTTAAGGCATTTTTTTTTTCATCTTACTCTACTTTAAGGTGGATTTTTCGAACGCTAATTATTGTTTGGATATACCAATAGCATTGACATTTAATATGTACGAATATAATAACGACTATATTTGTAAAAGATACATTAAAATAAACACAAATACAAATGTATTTTAGTGTTAATAACAAGCAGATCACAAATAATCAGGATTTGCAGTCTTTCTGTGGTTTACAATAATTGGCGATGTTTTGACCCATACATATGGATCACCATCAATGCTAAAAATTAAAAAATACATCTATCAGAAAAAAAAATGTGCTACTATTTGCTGTTAATTATTGAATGGTTTAACGTTGTTGTTTTAGCTTTATTTATTCGATGTATTTGTTTCTATACTCATTTAATTAATTTATTCGTACTTTTTACATAATTATTTGTTTTTTAATTAATTTATTTTCTCGATGTACTACCTATTTCTACTTATTCGTAATATCACATTCATATTACTATTATGTGTATATTACCATTATCTAAAGTGTATTTTCCATCTTTTTACCATGGCTTATTTACATACTTATATCTATCACTCATTTTTCTGATGTGATTTTAAGCTCTGGCGTTGACCCACATACTTGAGTAGAAACGCCGGCAAATCTAATTAAACATATAAAGATTAGAAATTCTGATTATTTGTCTTCCTAACATAAAGTTTTTTAACAACCAGCGGTTGCATTCGATATAATAAATTATTTTTCTCATGTACCATTCTGTTTGACAGGCCATCCTCTTCGCCCTGGTCGCTTGCGCCTCCGCAGGCCTCATCGGCTACTCCAGCCCCGCCATCGGCTACGCCAGCCCCGCCATCAGCTACGCCGCTCCAATTGCTACAGTCGCCCATGCTCCAGTAGCTGTCGCCCATGCTCCAGTAGCTGTCGCCCACGCTCCAGTCTCCTATGGCCTTGGCTATGGTTACGGTCTCGGCTATGGTTATGGACTTGGCTACTCCACCCTTCTCCATTAAGTCACTTCAGTTTTTGTATGTGTATTTTATTTAACATATTAGGGGAAATATAATAATCTATTTTCACTATTTTGTGTGTATAATTTATTCAAATCCTTCATTTATTTTAGCATTGATATTATAGTATTGCGTTAGACAAAACAGTTTTAAAATAAGTTTAATATATATCTCATATACTCAATAGAGAGACATTGGTTATTCTGTTTCCAAGAGTCAACAACAATATTCCATCGTATTTCCTTTATGGTGCAGGCAATTTGAACAAACTAGACAATCATATGAAGTTCATTAAAATGTTGAAAACGTTTTAAATGTTCTATTTTCCTGGAATGATTTCCTCTTATTTAGTCCGTTGTGAATCCACGCAGAGCTGCACAATCCTCTTAGTAGTCCATATATCTCAGGCCATTCTTATAGGTTCCAACTCCCTCCTTAGATCCATTTCCACCTATCCTTCCTTGATTATTAATGACCAACCAATCTCCTTCACCTCCTCTGTAAAAAACGTAGGAATTACCATTGATCAAAATATATGGAAACCCCATATTGCTCAAATCTCCAGAAGGTCAATTGGTACTCTTAAATTATTTCATCGTTCTCGTCAGCATCGCCCACAATCTATCCGCAGGCTCCTCGTTTCCTCATTGATTTTCCCCTACTTTTACTATGGCTTTGTGGTATACGGTGGCCTCTCGTTGGAGCTTTAGACTGAAGAGAATCATGAACTGTTTTTTAAGATTCGTCTTCGGCACTTCGAGATGATCTCATGTGTCCCACCTATATGCAGAGTCAAAGTGGCTCTTCCCCTCTTCCCGCCGCCTATATTTCCTTGGAAATTTCTTATACCAAACGATCAACTCCCAGCACCCTTTCTATATTGTTGTCTCCTCCAGCCTAAACCCTTAGTCCACTCAATAAAAACGAGATCCCGTGTTTCTGACCTCTATATTCCATTCCACAGGACAAAAACCTATGAACGTTCCTTCTTAGGCCGCTCCGTCTCCTACTGGAATTCTTTGCCACATAACATCCGTCATGCCTCTTTCCTGTCAACTTTCAAATACGCCTTTTTCAAATATCTCCTTACATCCCAAACAGAAGATTTACCACCATAAATTTCATTTTATGAACTGAATTTGCGTGAAGTAAATAGTGGTGTCTACTGTTGAAGTTTTAACATAAAACAGCAATGATCTTTTTCACCTAGTTTGACTATTATTTTTACTATTTATTTATTTTTCTCTTCTCCTCAGGTTGTGCTTTTTCTTTCGGGTATATATGTTTATATTTTATATTTTTGTCTTTCTGTGTGCCGATATGAGAATGTACGTATATATAGTTCCTTTTATTTATTTTTTTTTTCCATTACACCACAAGTATCCTAAGATTTTATTTTATCTTAGTGTCTGAATATTATTATATAAACCACTGTAGATATTATTACATTTTGTATTAAGTTAGTTTGCTATTAGATAGCCTATTGTTTATAAATTGTGTAGTTATGTATATATAAATATGTAATTTCTCTTCTTTTTTTTTTCATCACAATTAAGTAATTTTGAGAAGATTTTATGTTCATTTGTATATATTTTATTATTTTTTTTTACTGGTTACATACTTTTTAAATAATGTATATAATATTAAAATTTTTAGAAGTTAGTTTTTGGCCAGATTTGTACTTTACTTTGTATTAACTCATCATTGTTATTCTAAAGGGACTTAGTCCCAGAATAAAGTTTAATTTCTATTTCTATTCTATTCTATATCCATTTTCTATTTAAACATCCATCCATTTATCATAGTGGCATTTTTGTCAAAAGTAATCAACCTAGTGAATCGAGATAAAAGTATTTATAAATATGACTAGAATAATGTTTAGTCAAATTACCTTCTAGGTAAGTAGGTATACAATCAAAGAAATGTAAAACAGTTAAATATGGTCACCAATCTCTCGTCTTTTGATACCTCTGGACAACTCTGATGGAGATCTTCAAAATGAGTCGTCACAAAACGTCTCGCTTATTAGTGTATAATTATTTCATCGATTGATCCCTGGCACACTTTTGCTTAAAGTAATACATTTTACAGTTATTTGAACAAAACCTTGATTATGTTTATCTGTACCTTGTATCTAAAATGCCAAATAAATAACAAATGAAAATGTGAATGATGTAGCAACAGAATATGCTGTTAATAGTGAATCTTGGAAACTTATTTAAATTATTATAAATTACCGAATGTTAACTAAAAGTCGACATCCTTAGTTTTTTGTCTTGTCAATTTTTTTCAGTATTTTTAAATTAAAAATATATTAATTAAAAGATAAATTTGAAACTTGACCTTTATCATGATGCTCATCCGGTGAAACTGTAAAATTTTTAAACGCTATTTTATCACTTTAAATTTATAGAAAGACGTGTTTAATCAAATCGATGTCATAGTATATATGTATATGACAAATTTTGATGGATAGGATCATTTTACAATGATACAATTAATTTAAAAAACTATGTTACTTAAATTACAATAATAATTCTAATTATTTTGCCTCTTCAATAAATTTTTTATGATTCTCAGTTTCGTTATTATACCGCTGGATTAGCGATATGTGAACAAATTGGTGCAGCGAGCATCACACAACTTTCACTTACCAACCTAATTAAATAATGAAATTTCTGCTCATAATAAGGCTGATTAATAAATTTAAAACTATCTCTATATTTCATATAATATATATATATATATATATATATATATATATATATATATATATATATAAATAAATAAGTAAGACAAAAAATATATACAGAAAAAAATCAGAACAATACTCAATATGTAGAGGCTTAGCTACCTACAGGTTAGCAAGGGTGGAGACCCGCAGGCTGGAGTTGGTAACTGGAGAAACTGTTGCAACGATTACGACAGGAATCCCGGGCCACTGGCTCTAAGATTTATGCCCACCAAGCTGCCACTTAGCCCTCAAGTAAGGCTTCATGCCGAAACCTTTTCCTAATAAACTTTTTTTTTTTATTTAATTTTTTTTTGTAAAGGAAAATGTAGTTAATGGACAAAATATGTCTCATTCTTACTTAAGAAAACAAAAAAGATTTTTTTTTAAAAAACTTTATAACCTGTTCTTCACGAAAATTACAAAATTTTAAAATTAACCCATTTATCTAACCCAACAGACGAAGCAGGGTTGCTGTCAAACGAAGATTGATCCTGATGATATGTCGTTATGCATAAACTTTTTTTTTTTTTTTTTTGTTATAGTACAATGACAGATAAAAGGTGAAATCTGCATTTAAAAGGGCAAGATTAGACCCCGTTAATGCTGTGAAAAAGAAAGCGGCATACGTGCAGAAAGAGCTGACAGAAGAAGCGAATTTTTCCTTGTCAGTGATGTAGTTGTTGGGATAAAGCAGCGATGAATGCTAAGTAATATACCTGGTGATGGTAAGTAAATATGCATAAAACCGAATAAAATATTTTACAGCATCAGTGTCGTTATTTAATATCCACATCCTGTATAAATAAAACACCTTTCTTTTTATTTTCCTTGTGAAATACAAAAAAAATGCCAAGACGAAAAATATTCTATTCCTGTTAATTCATGTACATAAAACAAAACTATGAGAATTCATTTCCAATATCTGGATTTGATTCAAATTTTCACCAGATATTAATATCATTTGTCATACTTAGTGGCGCACATATTCCAGTTATAATCCTTATTATAAAACCTCCTAGAAGCTTTCTACTTGACTTTAAGAAGCTAATTTATCAATCTTCGGGACTTTAGTTGAATTTGGGTCTAAGAATAATCTCATTTGAATTTGGAGGAGAAACCACAACAAAACAGTATCATATGCTGATGGTGATTATTATAACCCGACATTATCATAGGAAATTAAAGTAGACAATTTATATGTTCTAACCATTTGATATATTTTAGAATTGAATGTCCTTCATCGATATTAGCTCTCTTGACATTTTTGCTCAAACTGAAAATGTCATCAGTCCATCCCGTTCCCACACTTAAGTTGCTTAGTGTAACCTAATTTCGTTTTAGCAAGTTCATCAATATAATTTCTCAGATTTTTCAATCACATTCTAAAAAGGTCGTCCTACATACCTACGACATCCTAGGTTTCTTAAATAAACTTCTAGTACTAAGTAAAAGTTAGAGACAGAGCACTAGAAAAGAGTAGTATATTTAAGAGGAAAACTTATTGTGGCTTTTTTTTTTAATAATAGAACTATATGAGGAAGAAAATCTATGTTTTACTAATTTCAAATATATTAAGTAAAGGCATACTATGAATTATATTAACTAAACCCAATATATTCAGTATACCGTAGCAACTAATTTTCTCATAAGTATTCTTCTATATTTAATTCCTTTTATTTTTCTTTACATTTAACACCTATTTCACCATTGGAATAACAGGGAGGAGGGTGAGGGTAGCCACGAAATAAATTTCAACCATCTCAGGGCAGATTCGAATCACCGCCGCTATACTCAAGAATATTAAAACGGATACTTAGCCACCATGGCCACAACTTTAACCAATCACCTTTGTCCAATTTTTTTTTTACTTTCGTTTCCCTGTTATCCATGCCACCAAAAATGGGGTTTATAAAGAAATCTCTTGTTTCACTGATACTCAAGTACTGTTTCACTAATTTAATAAAATTAATATCAAGGAAAACCAACATTGACAACAATTTTGCTTGATGTAACAAAGATGATGTCAAAGAAAAACGAAATGGTAGTTTCTTTTACAATTTATTCAATAAATTATATGTTAACTAGAAGGTTTCACCATTTGAATATAAACATCCTTTGAACAATCTGAGGTTAAACATACAAAAGTATCAAACTTTTCGCACACTCAGGTTTTCCAATCCTAATGATTTTTTCATCATAATTGTTTGGTAAGTTTCGAATATAATTCGAAATTTTTTGAACACCCTAATTGATCATACACCAATTTTCCATCAGACAGGAATCAGTGAGGTAATATGAGGAACTGTTAATAAAAAAAATAGCTATTAAGCCTGAAT